TAAGTCGTGTATCCATTTGGAGATTATCTTGCTATATAGTGTAAGGTGTTGATATAAACCTAATTTCTGCCAGACTGCTTTCTAGTTTTGCTGGGTATTTTCATATTACGTATAATACCGGCTCTTAAATTGATATCATATTAAGGAAAGATCCATTTATTCCTCAGTTTCTTAGTGTTTTTAACATAGGTGGGTGTTGTATTTCATGGAAAGCTTTTTTTTCTGCATCTCTTGATATAATCATATGATTTAGTCATTATTGTTAAGTTATGTTATGTTAATAGCATTCCTAAAATTGATCATCCTTGCACTCCTGGTATAAGTCCAACCTAATCAGAATGTATAATCTTTGTGATAAATTGCTAGTAGTTTAATTAAAATATTTACATAATTATTCATTAGAAATATTAATTTATATTTTCCCCCTCCACTTTGGCTTTTCCTAGTTTATGTAATAAGACCATATTTTTATCACAGACTTAGGGAAGGATTAGACTTTGTCCATTTTGACCCAGAAGATCAAACTAGAAGTGATGGTTGGGAGCTGCAGAGACAAATTTTGACTCCATGTCATTAAAAACTTTCTAACAATTAGTGATGACTAGAAGTAGAGTGGGTTGCCTCAAGAAGTCATAGATTCCCCCTCCATGAAAGCCTTCAAGCAGAGACTGGGTGACTATTTGTTGTTAATGTTATTATAGAAGGAATTCACTTGGTTTATGGGTTAAACTCAATGGTCTAAAGGAGCAGTCTGCATCACCAGTTGCTGGATAGGGCTACTGCTCCACTGGACGTTCCACTTGAACAGCTCTTTGACTTGGATCTAAGGTAGTATTTGCTCTTTTGGCCAAAAAAAAATGTTCCCTAAGTCTGAGACCTGCAGCTATTCAGTTTAGCTCATTTGGTTCACTTCTCATTATTAATCCATAGGTAGCAGTAAAGGACATGCTACACAAGTATCTGCTGGGTTTCCCCTCTCTTAAGCCAAAGGTGAGGGCAGTTAGGTGGCATAGTGGATAGAACACTGGGCTTAGAATCAGGAAATCTCATCTTTGTGAGTTCAGATCCAGACTCAGACACTTATTAGCTATATGTCCCTGGAAAAGTCATTTAACCATGTTTGCCTCAGTTCCTCATCTGTAAAATGAGCTAGAGAAGAAAATCACAAGCCACTCTTGTATCTTTGCCAAGAAAACCCCAAATGGGATCATGAAGAATTGGACACAATTTTAGAATGACTCAACAAAAGCCACAGGTGGCAGTAAAGTTCAAAGCAAATTAGCCTGTCCTTTTCCCCAGCCAGCTCTGTTCAGCAACAGAGGTGTCTTCTTCCTTCAATCAGCTCCCACAGCAACATGTTCTAAAATCAGCTCCCTACAACAATTTTCCTCCAATTAGTTCCAAGCAACATAGTTTTTTCACCAATTATCTTGGTAGGGGGTTGGGGTGGATATAGAATTCAAGCTCTAAGCTCTTTTAACAGCTCTCTTCCAATCAGCTTATCTTTTCTATGAACCATTTGCTTAGTTGGACTCTGTTTAGCTAGATTCCTTTCAAATAGCATGGGCAAAATTCAGTTCCTACTTACTCTCTTTCTTTCTTCCTTCCTTCCTTCCTTCCTTCCTTCCTTCCTTCCTTCCTTCCTTCCTTCCTTCCTTCCTTCCTTCCTTCCTTCCTTCCTTCCTCTTCTTTCTTCTTTCTTCCTTCCTTCCTTCCTTCCTTCCTTCCTTCCTTCCTTCCTTCCTTCCTTCCTTCCTTCCTTCCTTCCTTCCTTCCTTCCTTCCTTCCTTCCTTCCTTCCTTCCTTCTCTGCTTTTGGTTTCTTCTGTCTCTGGTTTCTGTCTACCCTATTTTTCAGTCTTTCCTGACTCAAGGCAGTGTCTCCTTGTGTGAAATAACTCACTTCTATCTTAGTTTGAACAATCAGAAATTTTCAGAACCACCACAAACAGGCAACATACAATTATACAATAGTCACCAAAAAGGTCTAGATTTCAAGTATCCACAGCTATCAGCCTGTCCTTGTAGTTGTCATGTGGAAACTATCTGTTTAGAAACAAGATACTTTGGCCATCTTTGCCTTCAATATATACTTATCTCTGAGAACTCTGAAGTTCTCTCAGAATTGTCTGTTTTTCCCCACTTTCTACAAACAAGATTGTCCAAATCTGAAACAGATAACATTTTACACATGTAATATGGAAAGAATAAAAAAAATTTTAAAAAAAGGAAGAAAGAAAGAATCAATGTTGATTGAGGTCCTTATACTCCAGGGTGCTGTAGGAGACCATCATCTGTTCAAGGATAGTGGCAATCTTTGGTGCACTTCCGGAAGGAATGCTGGGACCATTGTTTGACCCTGGCTTGGATTCTTTGGGGTCTTGAAAAATATATTTAATACAAAAACTTGCGTCACATTCTTCCATCAATGTACACAGTGTCCATGAGGGAGAGTGGCTATGTCTATTCTGTCTCAAAACATAGGGATCTGAGGGTGAAGGCAGCAAGGTGATTGGTTCAAGCATCTGAATCAGTAAATACCTGTGATCAGCTCCCCAAGATTCTGTCAGAATTTCTGCTCAATACCACTTCCTCTTTCTAATTCAAGAACAGTGGGGGATGGCATATACCCAGAAAATACCTCACTCATAGAATGTGCACTTGGCTTCCCATCAGACCTAGTATCCAAAGCCCTGGTCCTAAATGGAAGTTAGAGCTCTGATGTCCTGGCACTCAATAGTTAAGGGTAGCAGAGATAATTGCTTTTATCAGATTGTTTTATTGACACAGATCAAAATTGATAGTGCTTTCAACAATAGCAACAATGAGTCAAGAAGACTCTAAGACCACTTTTAGGGAGAGACTTAGATGTCCATTCCCATGTCCAGTAATGGTTAGGGGCATGCCTCAGTAATTGAGGGCTGAGAAATTGCTGTTTTCTTATACGGTTCAGTGACACAAAGCAGAACAGGGCCTACCTCAACACATGGCAGCATGTTTGCAGCTGGAAGGTTCAAGGAGAAGAGGCCTCCAAATCCAACCTTTATGTGGAGTCTGGGCTGGGGTACTCCCCATCACAAGTCAAATGATGGTGTCTCTTCCACTGATCAGGTTAGCAACCATATTCAACTGCTACTGTACTTGTTCATGAAGGACATGGATAACCAATAAAAAGAGGCTGACCAGTTTCCTAGAAAGAATAGGAGATAACTGATGAACAGTTCTAGGGTTGTATTGGTATCCATGAAATATTAAAACACTAGAGGAAAGTGTCTAGTATGCTGAAGGGATCAACTGTGGAGGAGGTTTCAGAGCATAGGAATCATGCAGGGTCAGAACGTATAAGCAGAAGAGAGTAAAGAGAATATTCTAGATCAGAATTATGATGTGGTCATGAAGACAAGAATCATGACCTGTTCAAAGACAGTGAGTAGAATTATTTTGCTGTATTGGAGGATTCATGTAGGGAAACTATGGGAGAAAAGTGTGAGGAGGTAGACTAAGGCAAGACTGAGAGGCCGTTAAATGTCAGGATGAAGAGTTATACTTTGTATTATAGACAAAGGATACTTCTGAGTGTTGCTGAGCACAGGGTAACATATACAAATCAATGTTTTACAAAAATTAATTTGTCAGTGGTGAAGATGAATTGAGACCACTGTAATGGTTCAATGCTTAGACAAAACTTAGGTAGAAAGGGAAGCCCCACCTAAGGTTTTCTTCACTTCCAATAATTTTCTGATCCTTTATTGGCCAGTATCCCCAAACTGTTGGAGTGTTGGTTCCTTCTGTATATTTTTGCTGTGCCCACCAGCCCATGCCAATCTTAGCATAGATGCTTCCTCTGTTCCCCTGTCCACCTGAGACACCTTGTTTTGTTTTGTTTTGCTTTTTGTCTGGTTCTCCCTATCTCTCATCCAGAGAAGTACAGTGGCCCCTCATGGGCTTGATCTCAATATAGATCTACTCAGAAGCTTTAACCTGATCTGTTTCCTACCCAGGCCATCTGTACCCGGGGGCTCACAATGATAGGGACAAATGTAGGGTATTCATCCAACAGGCTTTAGCTCTATTATAGCCCAGAGCTATGTACCCCAGAAATCTATCAGCCTCAGCTTCCCTAGCAGCAGCAGCTACAGATATGGGTAGTGCCTGGACCTTTTTTTTTAACTTGGGTTTTTCAAACTGTTTCACCAGTGACCAAAGTAAAATAAAACCAACTGACAGAACACAGAATTGTCCATTTATGTTGCATGGGAAACTTAGCCTAAGAGATCTCTAATCTGCTGTAGGTGGTTGGGATAGTTTCTGAGACTAACCTAACAGGCAAGGATAATTTTACATAGCAACAAATAAGAATTTTAGTGGGTGAAAACATTAATTATAAATCCTTAGAAAGCATTTTTATGCCAGATTAAGGATAATTTTCTCAGGAAGTTCTATCCTGTCAAAAAGTTGTGACAAGAAGTTTAAAAAACACAGAGATTACATCTGCCAGTCATTTTTGGAAGAACATAGGATCAAAGACTGAGAGGAAAGGACTTTAGAAAGTATTGAGGCCAACCTCAAATTCCCTAATATCATCCTCTGTTCTTTCCTCCTTTGCTTGAGTATGGGAGGAAAATGTGGCATTCTCCTCACCAAGGCCAACTCCTCTCCATCCCTTCTGGAAGCTTCCCCCTTCAGTCATTCCCTCTCCCTCCCTAAGTTTTGATCTCATCTTACAAGACCACTAGGCTCTTCCTTGCTATCTGCAAACATGCCCGAATCTCTCCCACAGCTGCCAAGTTGATATTCCTGAAGTAGTCCACATTAGCAAGATTCCACCCACATCCCCCTACTAGGGAAGTGTTCACCTCAAGCTTCATCCACATTCACAATAACCTAAATGCAGTACGGTCATTTCGTAACATCTAGGCATGCAGTTAAACAGGCTTCAACAAGGATGGTAGCAATAGAATGCAAACGAGGAAATGCTTTCCAGAAACTGTGTTTACAGGGAAGATTAAACAAAACTTGATGGCTGGCATGTGAAATAATATTGTTCCTTCTCAGCAGACACAGCACAAACCAGCTTCACTGATGCAAATGCTTCCTGCATTACCACTCTCTCTTCTCACTAAAACCTGGACTCAGAAAGAATCTGAACCACATTCACTCTAAAGTACTAATTACTGATATTGCTTAAAGTGTTACCTTTCTATGAGAATATGCATTTATAGCATAGATTGGCCTTAAATAAAGGAAAGAACTTCCTAGTGACACTGGCCACCTGGGGGTCCTTCAAACAAGATTCTCCATCTCTCGACTTGCAAGCATTTTCCCTGGCCGTCTCCCATGCCCGGAAGCTCAACTCTGTTTCCTGATTTCTTTGGCTTTTTTCAAGTCTCAGCTAAAATCCAAACTCTTACAAGAAGGTTTTCCCAATGCACTATTTTTATTGTTTTGGCAAAGTGTAAACAAAGATTACCCAGCTCATTGTGGAAGGTAAGGAGGGAGGGTACAAAGCTTGTGTGTTTACCATGAACCTTTTTCAGATGTGTGTTTTTGTTTTGGCAGGCAGATGTCTTTAAACAAAGCTAATATGCTACATAGGCACAGTTTTGTTTATATTGTATATTTACAGGCAGTGCTAACAACCTATATAAATTTATATAAAATTAAGTGACTCAAAGCCTTTAATACTGCTACGTTACAAATTCATACCATTCAAAGGAAAGTTTTTAATGGAATAGCAACCATGTCTTCATTTCGAAACCTAATGACCTACTCCCTGAATCTCACTGCATTTATTGTAATTTTTAAGAATTTTTTTTGAAAATTGGTAGTATTTGTCACCTTTATTAAATTTTTTACAGAAAAAAAGCTTTTCCCAATCCATCTTAATTCTAGTACCTTCCCTCTGTAAATTATTTCCTAAATATCCTATTTATGGCTTGTTTGTATTTATTCTTTATTGTCTTTCCCCATTAGATTTTGGATCCTTGAGAGTAGGGACTGTCTTTTGCCTCTTTTTGTGTCCTCAGTACTTTAGCACAGTGCCAGGCACCTTTTGTTCTTTAGTCATGTCTGACTTTCCATGTCCCTATTTGAGGTTTTCTTAGCAAAGATACTGGAGTGGTTTGTCATTTCATTTACCAACTCATTTTATAGATGAGGAAACTGAGACGAACAGGGTTAAGTGACTTGCCCAGGGTCACACAGCCTGTAATTGCCTGAGGCCAGATTTGAGCTCAGGAAAGTGAGTCTTCCTGACTCTAGGCCAGATACTCTATCTACTGTGCCACCTATCTGCCCCCACCTGGCATATAGTAGGGACTTAAAAAAATGTCTGATTAACTGACTGGTTGGAATTGCAGGCATAAGTCAGTTGGTAGGGGCTATGTTATTTTGCTTCCAGTGAACTATGAATACGGAGGCAAGCACCTCTCTACTTCTTGACAGGGCTCCAAGGGAAAACAATGCCATGTTTCCCTATGTCCACAAAAGAAGGGTGGAATGATGTCCAAGGAAATACATCACTAGAGTGGAAAATCCATTAAATATTTATGGCAGAATTCAATGTTCTCCACTGTCCCAAAAACACCAGTGACAGAACTGTGAGTTGAATCCTGGGAAGCTCTTAGAATTCTCTCTAGTGACATCTTGTCCAGACCAGGTAGGAGACCCCTTAATGAAGGGTTGGACTAGGGGGATGGTAAGGTGGAGGAAAAAACCTATAGGTGGGACTAGAAGGGCTGGTTACTGGTATTGTAGAAAGGTGGCTGGACGTGGTGCCAATAGAGATTGGAGTTTGAATCCCATCTCTGGCACTTAGCTTGTGTGAGCTTGGGCAAGTCATTCAGCCTCACTTTCTTCATTGGTAAAGCATTGCTAATTATATCTGTAGTTCCAATCTTACCTAGAGTTGTGTCCTTTGTTGTGAAGATCAAATGAAATAATATGTGTAAAATATTTTACAAATCTCAGAGAGCTATCCAAATGTTCTCTACAATTATTAAAAAGAAAGATGAAAGGCAATAGAGGTCCTATTGCTGGTCAGAGGAGCAGAGGACACCCTGGATAAGAGAGAGATGGAACAGAATTGGCTTTGCCTGGGGGTAGTATAGAGCACCATATCCATCATGCTGCTCTATGTTGAAATATTTTTTCAAGATGTGAGCAAAGGAAAGGCACTGGGGGATCCTGAAGCCCAGAGAGCTATTCTGCTCCAGCTGTAGCTTAAAGGAACAAGGGGAACCAATTAATTAAGCTGACCAATAGAGCTCAAGGTACAATTAAATTTAGCATCTATTAAGATATTTAAAAAAGAAGATATTCATAAAACATTATGCTAGGTGTTGGGAATATATGGTGCCTGCTTGTTAAGAGTTTATATAGTCAAGGAGTGGGGTATGAAATGTGTATACAAATAACTATAATAAAAATTAGAATATAGTTAGTACACAGAAAAGATGGAAACACCAGCGTAAGAAATTTGAGGAGGGAGAGATAATTTCTAGTTGAGACAATCACCAGAAAGCTTCATGAAGGAGCCCTGAAGGAAGAGTAGAATATCAATAGGCAGAGATGTGGGAGTGGGAATCTGTATTAATAAAGAAGGAGTATGTATGCATATGCATGGAGGAGGAGGATGGGAGAGAGAGAAAGAAAGAGAGGACAGAGAGAGGGAGAGAGAGAGGAAGAGAGAAAGAGAGAAAGAGAGAGTGGGGAATGGTTCAGCTGGACTGGAGCATAAAATGTGTGAAAAGAAATTGTGTGAAAAGACTGAAAGAGGCCAAGGAGGGGGTGGGGGGCCAGCACTTTATACAGTAGACAGGTGTGAACCACAGAAGATTCTGAGCAGGGTGATGACCACTGAAATGCAAACTCTTTGAGAACAGGGACTATTTTGACCTGTTCTTTGTGTCTCCACCGTCCAGAGAAGTGCTGGGCACATCATAAATGCTAAATAATTGCTTGTTGATTAATCGTTGACTAATTGACCTAACCAAAATTATGTGTTAAGAAAAATCACTTGAGTTGTGATAAGAAGTTCCACTGGAGGTGAGATGACCAATTAAGAAGATATTAAAATAATCTTCTTATTGTTCAGTCAGGTCTGACTCTTTATGACCCTCTTTGGTTTTTTGGGGTTTTTTTTGGCAGAAATACTGGAGTGGTTTGCTGTTTCTTTCTCCAGATCATTTTAAAGATGAGAAAACTGAGGCAAACTGGGTTAAGTGACCTGCCCAGGGTCACACAGCTATGAAGTGTCTGAGAGCAGATTTGAACTCAGGTCCTCCTGACTCCAGGCCTGGCATTCTATCTACTGGGCCACCTAACTGTCCCATTAAAATAATCTAAGGGAGAAATAGTAAAGGTCTGAAATAGATTGGTGGCAGGGTAAAAGAGGGGGCTAGAGCTTTTGCAGGGGTATTTGTGCTGCAGGAAGGTGAGAACAGTGTAGAAATACCCCTGGTGCCTTATTGAGGTCCCTAACGTAGGCTTTAGGAATTAAAAGTGGACAGGAAAGGCAGTACCTCCTAATACTCCCTGATCATAGACAAAATGTTTGAAGAATATTTGAACTGGAAGAACTCTGCTATTTCCAATTCAAAGTCCTTCACAACCTGACTTCAACTTACCTTTCCTGCCTAATCTCATACAACTCCCCACACTTCTCTTCCCTCCTTCAAAATATTTTGTAGAAAGGTGGCTGGTCCAGATAAAGTGGCCTACTCAATCAATGTTGACCACATGCAACATTCCAGCTCCTGCCTCCATGCCTTTGCTAGAGCAGGGGTGGGGAACCTGCAGCCTTAAGGCCACATGTGGCTAGAGTACAGCCTGTATACAGGCTTTGCATCGCCAGGACTAGAAAGGGGTGTCCTGATTTCTAATTAGATGTTTTTCTCACAACACAACCTTGGTTCCACTTCTGTTCCAGTGGTCTAACCCTCTTTGAATGCTGGGACACATCTGGCCAGAGCCACCATGTGGGTGCTGATAGCCTTGCTGCTGCTGGGTGAGTCTTTCCCTGTCTATCATTATGTTATTGGGTGTTATGTTATAAGGGAGGAGGGATTCTAGGGCAAACCCTCTTGAACCCTGAGTGTTTAGTCTTGGTACTCCACTATATGGACAGACCATAGCTTAGTCTTCAGGCTACTCATGCCAGACACCCTTTATAGCTCAGTGTCAAGAATGTCTGCCATTATTATTTTGATGTTTAACACTGTCAGACACCCAACAGCCATCAAAACCCAAGCCTCTTTAGAGGGCAAAGCTTTAAACATGAGCAGAAAGCTTGGGGAGCTTAAGCCCATTTTCTTCTCCCATTTCCCATGAAGCTGCCTTGTCTTACCCTGTCTTTCACTGATTGCCGACTTCTGATCTTTTACAGATCCAAGGACTGGAAGAGCTGGTGAGTCCTCTGCATACTTTCCTCCCAGTCCATTTTCCTCTTCCTGCCCACCCCATCCTATGCATATATCAGTTCCTCACAGACCCTAGACTATATGCTCTGAGCATTGGAAGACTGCAGGACTAAGTGGACAGGATCCTTGGGTAGAGGCTATTCTGGAATGTTGCTCATCTTTACTACTCCCTAGCCTATTTGGTCCAGTTTGCCAAAGATTCTGCATCCAAGTAAGCATTCAGGACAGCATGCTTTACAAACTGATTAATTGACCTACTGACTAAACTCCTTCTAATTAAATGATTATGGTCAACTCTATTCCCAGAGGTGGTTTAGGGTTTCTCCAACTTGGGATTAAGTTCTTTGGGCATCTTGACTTCAGCTCTCTCTTTACAACACCCTCTACAGCCACCATGGATAAACCCATTCTGTCCTTGCACCCACCCTGGACTACAATCTTTAAGGGGGAGCGGGTAACCCTGAGGTGTGATGGGTACCACCCTTTGCTCCTCGAGCTCCGGCCAATCAGCACATTGTGGTACTTGGGGCACCTGCTACTTCCCTCACATAAGAAGAGCATCGAGGTGCAGACACCAGGGGTGTATCGATGTCAGACCCGAGGGGCACCTGTCAGTGATCCAATCCACCTCTCTGTGTCCAATGGTAAGTGGGTTGAGTATAATGGGAGGGCACACAATGGGAACACATACCAGGGAGACACGTATTCTGGGAATTGGTGCCAGCTGTCCTACAGGAGAAGATATATTCCTCGTGCTATTCTGCTTTAGATAAGAAAGCCGATCATCCTGGCAACATGCAAATAAATAGAAGTGGTTCAATAGTTGGTGGAGTTCATGGCCCATACTACACATAGGCTAAGTAGGTAGCCACCTACATGATATGACGTGAAAGGCACAATTGCCCCCAAAGTATCTCCCCAAACCCTAAAAATGGTTTCTAAAAATCCTACCATTAGAGCTGTGTTTTATAGGCATTAATTACTAAAGGTCACTGTTAAAAATTTAAGTATGTTCCCCAGGGGAGATAGCACTTAAATATAGCATCCAACCAGAACATTAGTACAGATTTATTTATAAGGTTAATTTATAGACAGCTAGATCTTGAGAGAATCCCACATTTTCATATGATGAAGAAAAAAACCTAATGGGAATATATGGGTTTCTGGGCAGCTAGGAGTAGCATGAGGATATGGGGCTCCCTTGGAGAAGGAAGACAGAAGTGAGGCCTACAAAACTGGCTCCCTATTTCATAGGATCATAAATTTAAAGAAGGTAAGGAACCTTAGAGATCATCTTACAGAGACACAGAGAAGTGAAGTGAATTGCCCAAGGCTCCACAGGCAATAAATAGCAAAACTGGAATTCAAACTCAAATACTCTGATGCCAAATTAGCCCTCTTAGCATCATGCCACTCTGCCCTTTATTTTCTTCCAAGTTCCCCTTCCCTAGGGCTAGTCTTCTTGGGGCTTACTGTAGAGTGGGATAGATTCCATTGGAACTTGATTAATTGTGCTCCAATCTTAGGTCTCACCTGTCCCCTACCCTGCCTTCCCTATTCCCCTAAAGTTGTCATCCAGTCCCAGGGATGCACCAAATCACAAGATCCTAGAGTTTGAAGGGATCTCAGAGGCCATTTAGCCCAATTCATACAAGAATAAGAACTCCTTAGGGCAGGTAGGTGGTGCAGTCAATAGAGTGCCAGCCCTGAAGTCAAGAGGACCTGAGTTCAAATCTAGTCTCAGACACTTACTAGTTGTATGGCCTGGGCAAGTCACTAAACCTCAATTACTTCCAAAAACAACAAAAAACAAAAAAAAAACCCAAACAAAAAGAATTCTATCTACATTAAGTGGTCTTTGAAAACCACTTTTAGAAAGATCTAATTGTTAGAAATTATTTCCTTACATCAAGCTCAAATCTATCTTTCTGAAACTCCATCCATTGCTTCTATTTCTTCCTTTTAGGACCAAACAGAACAAGTTTTTAACCCCCCTCTTCCACAGGACAGCCCTTTAAATTCTTGAAGATATCTATCATGTCTCCTCTAAGTTTTCTCTTCTCTAACCTCAACATACCCACTCCCTACAACCTTGAAGCCATTCATCACCCTACTCATCCTCTGAACATTCTTTAGCTGACCAATGTCCTTCCTAAAACGTGGTACCAAGAACTGAACTCCAGGTTCAATTTGTCTACAGCAAAATGCAGCTGGATTATCACCTCCCTATACTGTGTCTATGTAGTCTATGGTAAAAATATTTTTTTCGTGCCATATCACACTACTGACTTCATATTGAGGCCCCCTTCAAAACTGATATGGAATCATTAATTATTGCTTCATCCATTCCATTAGTTCCAAATCCACCTAACTACTACCATCTGAGACAAAAAAGTTCCATCTTGTCCACAAGAATGTATGAAAAACTGTCAAATGTTTTGCTACAATTTAGGTAGATCATCTCTGGTACTTCCCTGATCTACCAGTTTACTAACCTGTCAAAAAAAAAAAGGATATAAAGTTGTACTGATATTTCTTGTCCTGTGTAAAGCCATGCTAGTTTTTTGTCATTACCACTTCCTTTTCTTTAATAGTACATTCTAGTATTTCTCCAGGAATTGAAGTGAAGCTCACTGGCCTATAATTTCTATTTCCTTCTGTTTTTTATTTTTGGAAATTGAAGGCACCAGTCTTGGTGTACCTCTCCTATTCATCAATATCTTTCAAAGATCACTGACAGTGTTTCATCAATAACATTTGCCAGTTCTCTCAGTACCTTAGGATATGGTTTTTCTAGGTCTGGTGACTTGAATTAATCAAAGGCAACTATTGTCCTTTGTTTTTATTTTCTGTACATTTTTTTTTAAAGATTTTAAATGGGCTGATGAGTTCTCCCCATATCCAACAACTCAACAAGCATGTATTGATCACCTACCAGGGGCTAGAAATAGAAACTGGAACTATGATTTCATTGATAAAAATGATCTTTCAGATGAGGAAATTCCCTCTACCAATGCAGACCGGTGTTTTGTCAGCAACAGATAATACATAATAATACATGTTAAGTAAACTAGCTTTATATGAAGTTTGAGGGATGAAGTCATTATTGATAATACCACAGGATACCTCTACTGTGAGTCTTCCAGAGATGATGGACAGTTTGGAACTTGGTCCTTATCCTCATTAACATCTGGAGAAAGACTAGCCTCAAAATTAAAGGATCAGGAGAACTAAGAAATAACAAATGGGGGGCAGTTAGGTGGCACAGTAGATAGAGCACTGGCCCTGGAGTCAGGAGGACCTGAGTTCAAATCCGGCCACAGATACTTCACACTTACTAGCTGTGTGACCCTGGGCAAGTCATTTAACCCCATTGCCTAGCCCCCCCCCCAATAACAAATGGGAGAAATAAGAGATGGGCAAGAAGTGAAGAAGGGCTATGGGTGATCATGAGCTTTACTGAGATTATGGACCCTATCTGTTTTGTAGATTGGCTGATCCTACAGGTTCCCTATGCCATGGTGTTTGAGGGTGAACAACTAGTGATACGCTGCCGGGGCTGGTATGACAAAGTTGTTTACAAGCTCCACTACTACAAGGATGGGCACGTCATGCGCTACTTCCAGTCTAGTGCCAATTACACGATACCCCAGGCACAGGCCAGTGATAGTGGACATTACCAGTGCTCAGGAACCTTGCGTATCCCAGTGGAGAGTACCCCTATGTTCTCTGCCAAGGTGGTGGTTACCATCCAAGGTATGGAAACAAGACACAGGTCTCTTTGCTTGGGGGAGAAGAGTGCAGGGTAGGGGCTGGGAAAATACATACAGGGGTGGATAGAAGAGTAAACAATTTTTGTCTCAAAGGAGAGAAGGCTGATGCCAATTCTAATCTGCCAAATTTCTCTTCTACATGAGGAACAGAATGACCCCACTAGCTCTTCCCTTCTCCTTTGACCTTCTCCATTCACATCCCATTCCTCCATTAATGAAACTAGGAGCTGTCAGCAACCTGTATGGTATGCATTGCACCCAAGAACTACCCAATTCAATGAATTCCTTATTGAGACATTGAAAGGGGATAACCCCACATAGGGAACAAATCATCTCCTGTGATGGGCAGCAACTGCTACACCCCTGTCCAATCTCCCACCTAAAGCTGGAACAATGACCAGGAGTGTGGGGAACCATGCCGAGACTTCATGATCTTTAATAATACTTTCTAGCTTTCCTATAGCAGTATCATTTATGCCTATGTGTATTACCAGAATGCCACAGTCAACCTGCCTAATCCTTGGTCCCTTCATTCCTTTCTGTACCCAGACTGTGTGTGACTGGTCACCACTATGGGATGGCGAAGCTGGAGCTGTGGCCCTCAGACCACCCTACCCCAGCTCTCATCACCTCCACTACAGCCACTATCCATCCCCAAGAGCAAGTCTCCATCTACCCCAGCCTCCCCCTTCTTAGCCTGACTTGCTCAGTGTCCGGATTTTCTGTCCTCCTCCCCTAGAGCTGTTTGCATCTCCAGTGCTGAAAGTGGTGCACAAGCCTGAGTCCCGCAGCGGGGGTGGGGTGACCCTTCGCTGTGAAACAAGTCTGCACCCCCAGAAGCAGGACACGCCGCTGCAGTTTTCCTTCTACAAGTACAGCCGTCCTGTGCGCCGCTTTGACTGGGGAGCTGAGTATACCGTCCCGGAAACTGAGACCGAGGACCTGGAATCGTACTGGTGTGAAGCTGCCACTGTGCCCCGCAGCGTGCGCAAACGCAGCCCTTGGTTGCAACTCTCAGGGAGGGGTGAGTGACTCCTCGTTAGCACCCCACTACACTCCATTACCTCAACTCGCACCCATACTCTCACATCCTCTGTCCCCCACTCAACTCCCAAACACCCCAAGAGCCTAATCGTGGTCCCACTTCTTTTCTCCTCTCCAACCCCTGTAGGGCAACTTTATACTAATAAACAAGGGTCCCTACACTGTGAACAGTGGAAGGGCCCAAGTGATGGGACCCAGTGGGTTTATGTGGTTCATTCCCTATCATTTGACAGGTTCCTTCTCCAGCACATCGACCATCACAACCCGAGCTCCTGTGCCAGCAGCCATGTCCAAGAACCCCATTTCAAAGCCCCTCTCCTTCAGAAAGCCTCCTGATCCCAGATCTGTGTCCTTCATCACCTCTGCCCCAAACTCCACCTTGACCAGGACCCTTGCCTCTGTGCCAAGCATTCCCACTCCTGGGCCCACTGCTTGTACTTCTCTAGCATCCTTGGGCCAATCTACCTACTCTTTGAAGTCCAACATGGACTTATTGCTTCAGGAAATGCAGCTGCTTAAAGGCCTTCTGAGACAAGTGGTACTAGAGCTGAAGGAGCCACACACAGTTTTGGGGCTCAGAGGGACACCAGAGATACCTATCTTAGATTTGGGGGTGAACCCAGCCATTCCAGAGACCACAGGAAGGGGTTAAGGCAAGGACCAACCTAGTGGGATGCTTCTTGCCCCTATCCAGGCTGGCTAGCTTTTGGTGGGAGTCTGGGGTTGAAGTGTGACAATTATTAGGAGAACAGAACTTGAATCTTTCCAGTGAATTGGGGGGACTGGCCAATTAAATTCCAGTTCTCTTCCATTATACCTACTTTCCTTCAGTCATCCAAAAAGCACATTTTCCTTAAAGAAGCTATCTTTCTTACCATTTGGCCCCTGTGGTTTTAAACAATCACCAAGTGTCACCTATCCTATATGTCACTATTTAGTTACACAAGTACAAAGAGCTTTGCTACCACAAGTTTTCTGCTCCTATTCCTCCTTCTTTCCATCATCCTCCTTTCTCTATCACCCTCCCTCCACCCTCTACCCTTCACCCCCAAAATATAACTATACATAAATTATTTCATCTAAGTTTGTGGTTTGGTGTGAAATTCCAGCTTGTTTAAATTCTTAACTTTTCACCATGTTCCAGCCATTGTACATCAAATGGAGGCAAGTTTTAGCACTAGTAACTACTGAGGCACTTTAGAACCTTCTGTTGTTAGCAACAAGTTGCAATTACATAGTGAATTCACCCACTGCTGTCATTAAAAAAGATTTTCAGTTCTGCTGTTAGCAAGTATTGAAATCCCTGGGAAGAATTTGTTCTGTTCAGTTTTGCATAGAGTCTGGGAGAACAGAGAGAGTTTTGTGGCATCATCATCCCTCTGCTGCAGGAAAAAAGGATTCAGACTTCTCTTACACTTAGCCAGAAGTAGCAGACCCTGAAGTTAGGCATACCATATGGCCAAATGACTTTCTCCAGCAGCAGGAGGGCAATGTTTTGCTTGAGCCCCAGGAATGGTCACCAGAGAACACTCTGAATCAGAGAAAACACCTGCTTCTACAAACTGCTAAGACGGCTAGTTTAAAATCAGAAGATGAGTCAGGTAAATCTTTCTTTGATCTAAGTGAACACTTTTCTAATGTCTTTCCAGGACTTTTTCCCCCTCTAGTTCTTGGTTCAGGAAAGGTCTTTTCAGTTCTGGCTTCCAACTCTGCGGTGGAGCTTCTCTCATCAGCTCAGGTCTCATCTCTCCCAAGAAGCTTTCTCTGCTTAACTAGTCATTCTGTGCTGGGCAGTCTGTTTCTTTTGCCTCAGCATTTTTAATCTGTGGTTTTTCACAGCTACTTTCATTTGCCTCATTTCTATCTACATTCTTTATACCTCCTCTTTTTGTCCTGGTTTCTATCCCTTTCTTCCCTTTGCTGTTTCTAAGACAGGGTGCTAAGGAAACTCTGGAAGAGGAGTGACCACCTCTGTGTGAGGTGGGCGTGTTCTTCACTGATTTCCCACCCCAAAACTCCTACAGATTTAGAGGGGAAAACATAAGTTTAAACTTTTGGGATAGGAAGCAGGGGAAAACTAATTTCTACTACTTGTTAACAAGCCCCTATTTCCCACCCTCACACATCTCCCAAAGGGTATAATTTTCCCCAAAGATTCTGGACATCCAGAATTCACAAAGTCTGAAGTCTTCACACTCATCTGGCTGATGCTCTGGGTACTAAATTTGGGAAAATAGACTGAAACGACTTAACAACAACAAAAAGGAGTGAACTAGGTAGTTCAAAGTATAGCATCCTCCTATGGGCTACTCCAACAATTCACAATTACATTCTCTGAGTTTTAGGGCTATATTTCCAACATTGTTACTCCTGAGCCCTCACCAGTGTGCTTCCCACTAGCAATCAGCCAGACTTTTTTTTTTTTAAGCAACGTTATTTATTAAAGTGGTATTATAAGAATGGTTTGTATAAAACATTTCACCAAAAAGCCTAGAGCAAACTCTTTCACAATACACATTAAGTCTATTCTAAGAGTGGGCTCAAACTTAAGAGTATAATGGTAGTCAGGCATGATTGTAAAAGACACATGTGATAATGGAGTTCTTTCCAACTCCTGGCTCTGGAAGTCTTTTTTCCTTTGCCTTTGTAGAGTCCTCCAAAGTTCCCTTAAGATGGAGCTTGCTAAGTGGACCACTCAGCTGGGCTCTCAGCATCAGCACCTTTCTAGCGTCCATAGCCAGAATTCTTCTCTCGTACAAGGAATTATACTCTTTGAAGCTACTGTTGTCCTTGATTGACCATCTTTATGCATTTTTCTACAAACATTTCCACTGCAATTGGCTACTACTACTGTGGTGGCTGCTGCTGCTGCTACTGCCACCATGGGACCTCTGATGGGACCTCTATATTCCACAAAGTCACAGAGTTGCCTAGACATTTCTATTTCATAATACACATTCACCTAAAATCAAGATATCACTGCCCCTCTCCCACCCAGTTCTTGGGACCAGCACAAAGTAGTGCTGCATCCCTCACAGCTGCAAAGGAAAGAAAATAATATATTGATAGACTGGTCTTCTATATACCCACTCAGTTACAGTTCAGCTACCCCAGAGGCATGAGTTCTTCTGGTTCCACAATTAGAAGACTTTTCATGATTACACAGTTCTGTGTAGTTGCCTGGACTGAAATCAGGAAGAGAAGAGTTGGTACAAATTATTCCCCTCAAAAGTCTGTGACAAACTCTCCCATCAGTGAGTCTAAAATCCAGGGAAAGTGGGATCACATATAAAGGGCATATGTAGCAAGAAAAGAAAAACTCTCTTACTAGCTCAATGACCCTAGGCAAGTCACTTAACCCTGATTGCCTCACCAAAATGCAAAAAAAAAAAAAGAATGACTCATAGCTAAGAAGTCCTTTTCTCTCTCCTTCACGGGGTATATGAGAAGATTCCCATAGGCACATAGTAGCTTTTTGCTAGCCTTTTTGTGGAGTATTGAAGCTATCTTACCTTCTCATCTATTGTCTAGTTGGTCCCAAACTGATGCAGTCAGGTTGACAGCTACTGCTCTTCTGGGGACGTTGATAGGATGCTGATGGAAGGTCCAAAATTCTCTGGACCTTTTTGAAGCTCACAGGTCCTCTCAGGTCAAAGGTGGGAGAGGGAGACTGAGACGGAGACCTAGGCCAAAGCTCTTTTCCCCATATCCTAAGCAATTAATTTATTATCAGGGGTTTAGCTGGAAGCTACTATCTGTCTGTTGTTATATACTCAAATCCCTGGGTTCCAAACTGGTCCGCTATTTTATACAAAACCCACAGAGTGTGTCTGGGTGTCCCCAGATGGTACTAATACACTTACAATGTATCATATTTTACTTCGTCCAATAACCTCCTTCCAAATTCATTGAAAACTACACACACACACACACACACACACACAAATGTCTTAAATTAATTGATACAATAGAGACACTTATAACTTGTTCACATCTTGTTCACACCTCTGAGTAACTCATTATTCTAATGGATAAAGGCATTGGGTATTATGTCATTTATTTTAAATGCGGTGGGATAATTGGTAGATCACCTCACTTGACCCCAACATTACAAATTCATTCATTCATTTACCACATGTTTACTGAGCACCTATAATTTATAATATTTTATTTTCCCCCAATTACATGTTAAAGTAATTTTTTTTTAACATTTTAAAAAATGTTTTGAGTTCCAAATTCTATCCTTCCCATCCTCCTCCACTCCTCCCTCCCTGAAATGGTAAGCAATCTGATATAGTTTATACATATAAGCACCTGTAACTTAGCAGACACTGTGCCAGGTGATAGGAATAGAGGATAAAAACCCCAAACCCTTGATTTTGTCATTGCACCCCTAGCACAATGCCCAGTTACCCTAGTACACAGTAAGTGTTCAATAAATTGTTATCGAATTGAATTCTTCTTGTGAGGAAACAAGTACATAGATCAGTAAATACAAAATACATACGACATAATATGAGAAGCTCCTAACAACAAGATGCCATCAGGAAAGGCATCACGTAGGAAATGCCTCTTGATTTGAGCTTTTCAGCAAGCTAGGATCCTGAGAGGCAGAGGTGAGGAGGGAGCACATTTAAGATGACAGAAAATGAAACTATTCAAATCCTGTTTTCCTTCCATCTTCACCATTAAGAACTATATTCACAGAAACTGGAAGAAACAAACTGGGCTAAGAAGGAATCCTCATCTCTAAAATGAGGAGGTTGGACAAAATAGAATTAAATGGCTTTTTCAGCTCTAAGACAAATTAGAAGTGAAAAGTATGGTGTGCACAGAATCAGTAGAGACCAGGGTTTGAATGCCGCTTCAGGCATTTCTAATTGTATGACCACCAGACAAGTTGCTTAACATTTCAGAGCCTCAATTTCCTCATCTGTTAATTGGAGATAGTAACACTTAAAATATTTACCCCAAAGGTTGTTTGGGGAATCAAATGAGATAATGTATGTAAAGTACTTTTCAAATCTTAAAGTACTATATAAATTTCTGCTATTAATATTATTGTTAATTCCAAGACAGGTAAAGAGTTAGCAAAAAGTAACTAGCTAGCTTAAGTAAATTCAAGTCTCTAGGCCAAGATGAATTATATCCCAGGATCTTAAAATAATTTATACACAATATTAAAGAACCATTTGAGAGATCATGGAGAATGAGAGAAGTGCCAGAAAACTGGATCAAGATGGGTTATATGTATCAGTTTTCAAAAAGAGGTGAATTCCAAGAAGAAAAAAAAAAGAAAGAAAGAAAGAAAAAAAGGGGAAGCTAGGTGGCGCAGTGGATAGAGCACCAGCCCTGAAGTCAGGAGGACCTGAGTTCAAATGTGACCTCAGACCAAACACTTGACACTTACTACCTGTGTAACCCTGGGCAAGTCACTTAACCCCAATTGCCCAAAAAAAAAAAAAGAGAGAGAGAGAGAAAGAGGTGAATTCCTAAAATTATTAATAGATTTGACACAGGATCCAAATTCTTAAAATGTAATACTTCAAAGCATGTATGATCTCATTTGTGTATTTCATTCTTTAGTGCAGCTCCTAACTCATCCATACCTTCTTATATTCTTCAACTTTGTCTATGTTCTGCCTCTTTTTAAAAAAAAATGCATTTTCCTATTTTGCCCAGGCTGGAAGTACAGGGATTATTCATGGGCTCAATCCTACTACTGACTGGCATGGAAACTTTGATCTGCTCCATTTCTCAAGTGGGTTGGCTCACCTTTTCTAGGCAACTTGGTAGCCCCTGACTCCTGGGGACTTACCATTGTGATGCTGAACTTAGTATGATCGCCATAGTCCATTGTAGCTAAGAACTACCAAGTTCAAAAGTTCCATCAGCTCCAACCTACCAGCAGCTGAGATTAATGGCATGTACCATTACAACTAACTCATGTTCTTCCTCTACATGAGATACAGTCAATGTATTAAGAGTTTCTTCTAATTCTTTTTACATTTTCTGAATACAAGGTGAACAGACTGATCATCTGTTGGCCCTTATTCTATTCACATGACTTACTTCATTTTCTGATACTGATATATTTCCTTGATGATATCCCTTACTTCACTTCTTGCACATAGGTCATCAATAGAAATAAGCTGTAGCCTACCTGTGACCACCACATATCTCTATTGTCCTTTGGGTTACCTGCAATTGAATCCTTAGAGGTTCCCACCTGAGCAGAACTTCATGAGGACTCCATAAAGCAATAAAGGGACTTCCAGG